TCGCTAAAAAGAATTCGGCCTCGACCGAAATAATATTCGGCCTCGTCCGAAACAACATTCGGCCTCGTCCGAATCACCCTTATGGCCAAGGGCATCGCCAAAAAGAATTCTGCCTCGACCGTAAAAGAATCCGGCCTCGTCCGAATCGACCTTACGGCCAAGGGCCATCGCCAAAAAGAGGAGTTCGGCCTCCCCATCCGAATTTCTCAAACTACGATTAATGAAGTCCGCTCATCGAGCTTGACCAAGAGACGACCTCNTCGGCCTCGACCGAATCAACCTTCGGCCTCGACCGAAATAACATTCGGCCTCGACCAAAACAACCTTCGACCTCGACCGAAACAACATTCGGCCTCGTCCGAATCAACATTCGGCCTCATCTGAATCAACATTCAGCATCGTCCGAATCGACCTTACGGCCAAGGGCCATCGCCAAAAAGAGGAGTTCGGCCTCCCCATCCGAATTTCTCAAACTACGATTAATGAAGTCCGCTCATCGAGCTTGACCAAGAGACGACCTCAATAAGCGGAGGGACTAACTGTATGGGTCAATATTAGATCAGAGAAATTCGTCACGCGGAAACATAAGGTTGTGGTCAGACAGGCCAAGGTCGGACAGGCCAAGGTTGGACCGTCATCAATAACCAAGGTCAGACAGGCCAAGGTCGGACCGTCATCAATAACCAAGGTCGGACCGTCATCAAACAGCCAGTTTGCTTTGGATTACTCAAAAGGGATATTCTACCGAATGTACCCTCTAAATTGTACCTTTTTTAGGATTTTCTACGGATACCCCCCTTATAAATAGGGGGAGGACTTCCCAAAAAGGGGGCTCTCTCTCTGTCTCCCTCTCCCTCTTTCTAGAAAATATGTAAACACACCTCTCCAAAGAATTGAGAGGATCAGTGATCTCATATCTTCATCGGATCCATAAAAGGGTCATAAAGTTCTTGTATTTGTCTACCATTGATCTTTATTAAACGAAAGAACATCCATCTCACTGAAGATCGGGTGAATCTTTTCCTTTATTCATATTTTTGTTACTTAATGCATCTTTACTTATGCCATTAAATCTGATCATAATCGCTGTCAACATTTATATTTGACTATGTTTTTCTACTTCTCCTACTCATCTCGGATCTAGAGTTAATTATCTTTAACTAGGATTTACCACTTCATCTATTTGATTGATCTGCTTAAAAAGTGTTAAACAACTTTTGAGTCAAACAACAAGTATGACTTGTTGTGCAACAAAATAATATTTTAGGAACATCTAGTGGGCGTTTGCACATAAGAATTGTAAAATTCCAAAAAAAAAAAAGTAAAAATCATTTTAAGTAAAAATTCTATTTTGAAAATTAGAGTTGTGTTTGGACATGTATATTATTTTGGATTGTTTTTGAAGTTTTGTGAGTGATCTGAGTGATATTTTAAAAAATAACTTTTTGGAGTTTTTAAAATATTCGAAAATTATTGTCAAGTGAAAATCAAAAAATTATATTGTCAAACGCTGATTTTTCAGAAAATATTTTTAAAAATTCTTATGTCCAAACGGGTTCCTAAAATGGCCAAACAAACACCAAAAACGAAAAAGGAAGTTTGTGACAGACAACTATTGTGGTCAAAGTGCCAGTATGGCGTCGCATGTGCTATTGCTGTGAAGTGAAGTGAAGTGAAGTGAACAAGGATATTCAGGCACGTTAGCTCTCTTTCTGACTCTAAACACACATTTATTAGAAAGGCATTAAAAATGGAATATGACATAACAAAAGACAATACATCATAGACTACTAAAAAAATAGAATTTAGCGACGGATAAATTTTATTGCTAAACAGCAAAATTATTGCTAATCCTACTTAGTGACGTATCAGCGAGTGATTTAGCAACAAAATAATGATGAAATTTGTAGCTAACTTCAGTTTTTTTAGTAGTGATACATGTTTGTACAATCATAAATCTATATCTATATCTATATCTTTTATATTATATTAAAAGGTGGGTAAGCATGAGGTTAAGCCAAGTGGTGTATTGAGAATAAGCAATTTGGCACTTTAAAACAAAATATAAATAGATTTTATGACAAAATTCAATATAAATAACAAGATTATGACAAAATCCAATTTAAATTGTTCAAGAAATATTTCAATAATAAAAAAATTATTTAAGGAATATTCAACCTTTAATTTTGGTCCAAGTGATAAACGAAAGGAGTGAATTTGGAATTTCGTGATGCATTTCCAATTCAAGGCTTAGTTTATGTGATATTATCACTTTAATTTAGATGCTTATTTAATAACAAAATATTTAGTTTGACTGATATGATAGTTGCAGCGTCATTATTTATCTATATTAATATTCTAAAATTTTATATATTTAAGAGAATGATAATTTACAATATGATTAAGCTAAGTGACATATTAAGAGTAAGACACATAACAAAATTAGGACAAAGCTAATAAAAATTACAATAAATTGTTGAGTTAAATTTATATTTATATATCGATAAACATATTCATATATATTATTAAAAGAACGGTAGTAAAGTATGAGGTTAAGCCAAGTGGCGTATTGAGAACATTCGTCTTGGCACTTTTAAGATAAAATTTAAGACAAATCTTATATAGATTAACAAGATTAGGACAAAATCTAATCTAAATTGTTTAACAAATGTTTCCATAATAAAATTTATACATTTCCAACTTACTTATTTTATATGATATTATCCCTTTAATTTAGGTGCTTATTTAATAACAAAATATTTTGTTTGACATATATATATATATATA